CAAAAGCAGTAAAGAATTAACGCAAACTCTTGCAAGTCATTTTTTTTATTTCCCAAAAAATTTGTTGTAAAATACAATGCTAAAGCGAAGCGAAATAAAAAATTTTTATTACTTTCATATTATATACGATCGTGGGAATTTACTTGCAGATCTGTACCAATTTTAAATAATGTAACGATAAGAGATTTTGACAATCCATGGTGATACAAATTTCGATGACCGAGCTACAAACATTTTGAAGAAATTTTTATTCTCCATAGAATTGGATAAAGCTATTGTTTATTGGTTCTGTATATTTTAACAACATAAGTTTTTCACGCGGCAAAAATAAGCACATTGTATAAGAAAAAAAATTCCAAAAAGAGAAATTTTTTATATTTATTAATTAAATGTATATGTACTGTATGTTGTGGATATGGCTAAGAAATATAATGAATAATGAACCAAAATTAAATAATTTATCAATTAATGTTATTTTCGGGAAGACATCGAAACAATAGGAATATATAAAATTATGCAGGGAATGAATGAAGTTCACCAACATATCCGTTCATCTGTAATTTCACAATGTTCCAGAAACTAGAGGTTGGAACCGGTTTTATTTTCACAAACCGGTTTAAACACTTTTTTAATTTGAGACCAGAATTTAAACCGAATTTAAAATAAAATTGATTCAACCGGGCATTCGGTTGTAATAAAACCGAAAAACCGAATTGCGATTTATTTTATTATTGCAATTCATAAAAATCTCACAAAAACTTCGAAGGAAAAATTTGTTAAAGTTACACAATAAAAATAAAAATTTGATGGATGATTTCGTAAGGATCTAACAAAAAAAAAAGTATAATTTTACAAATTTGCATGAAATAATAAATGGAGAAATTTTTTAAAAAAATGTCGCAAAAATTGGATCAATAATTAATTTCTTTATAATATAAATTTTATTTTTTAAAAAAAAAATAATTTAAACCTTACCGTAACGTCATTATCGAAATTATATAATAATGTTGCATAATTATCAAATGTTAACAAAACATAAATATCATATTATAGGGTTTGATTTTAAACCGGTTCAATCGGTTTCATTAAATGCAATAAACCGATTTTATTAAAACCGGTTTTCGAATCTGAAAAAAAAATAGACCCGGTTTTATGTTGCAACCGGTTTAAACCGGATTTAAATCGATTTACACCAAACCGGTTCCAACCTCTAGTTAGATATTCTTATTCTTATTAATTTATCATAAGAATTTTCTAGCAAGAGACAAATCGTCGGTAAGTAAGGTTTTAAGAGGAATTACTAAAATTCCAATTTTTACTTTATGGTATTCTTCTAATTCGTAATATGTCGGGAGTTTATGCAGAACTTCGGTAATATTACTTTTTTGTGAACTTTTGTTAATCTGATAGAAAGTTGAGTTGATTACAATATTGTATTTGTTTACAAAGGATTATCTTAGTGATTTATTTAAAAAAAAAAATTAAATAAAATTAACATAGCTAACTCGTGATGAGTAGAAAAGTTTTCTTCAAGTGGACAAGGAATATCATTTTTTTGGAAAATTGAACAATAAATTTTAATAAATAACAACTGGAAATGATGGATTCGAGAAGTAGGTTTTTTATTTATTTATAATTTTTTATTATTCTATTTTTTCTTACAAATTAATCAATTTTATTTATATAGTTTATTTTGTATAGCTAACATTAATTCTTAAATAAAATTGCGTATATTTTTGCAATGCTCATGTCTAATTTGGGAAAACTTATTGAATTATTTTAGTATTCAATTAAATCATATATCATTATATATACTTAAAAAAAATAATTAATTAAAATTATGAAACTTATAATGTAATGGATGATTTTAATGATTAAATTTGTAAGTAAAAATTAAGCTTAATATAAGATTAAAATCAAGTTCTCAAATTCATTATAGTTTGGTAAAATTTTCTATTGAAACAGGAGGTGGGAGGAACACTATTATATTACATGAAGAATCATTCAATAAAAGAATTATACTATAATTATTGTGATAGTTCATATTTTCTTGAGAAAGATTTACATGATCACACATTTTTGGAGTAAGTACGAATATGAAGGATATAGTCCGATTTGATGGTTTGGAAGATCAGATTTCTGATAAGCACGTTTATGCTCTTCATGCACATTAGATTAAAAATAGTGATGTTATAATAAAATGCATATTAAACGTACAAGACCTGATGACGAGATAGAGCTAATCCAACTTTCTTTTATGATCAGCAGAGATTTGGAAATTTTTAAGTTTCTACAATAAAACTTATGATTTACAATAAAAATGTTATTTCTATGATATTTTCTTTTATTATGCGAATCTATACATTGTTTATGTTTTTTTAAATTTTTTTTTTATTTTTTTTATTCTTTAATTTCATATTTTGGGATTGCTTTCTTCAGAATTAAGTACGATTATAATTTAGCTTTGGTTAAAATTTATTTCCATTATTTAGTTTTGATCTCTTTGTAACGTAGCCATCGAACATACTTTCATCCTTTGGCTTTTGGAACTCTTTAGGAAATATTAAAATGAAACTTTAAATCTAACATGCCCAAATATTATCAAAAAAATTATATTATAGCGCAATGATCTTTGAATTAATTTTTCTGACATAATGATCTTTAACCACATGACGTGATCATAACTCAAAAATTGGATCACAAGTATATGGCATGGCTTAATCTTTTGTAATGTCACGTATTTTATTAAGCAAATTTGTTAAGTTTTACATAATCATCAGGTGTATCTGAAAACGTAGTTTAAATATTGTAAGAGAATTGTTACTTCAACAATATTGAACCAAAGAATCATTTACATAATAACGTTAAAATAAGCTATCATTAATTAATATGATGTAAACAATATTTATAAACTTTCTCATGAGCAAATACCGAGAATATCAAAATTGACGTCTATATATATAAATCGGTATTAGCTTATATTTAAATATATCAATAATTACTTAAATTACCTTTTAATTGTAATGAGCTAGAAATTTCTAATTCATGTAATTGAGAATCTTTGAAATATTAAAATGCATTAAAGTTAGTATTTAAATTTTTATTATTGAAAATAAAATTTAGATAATACCTTCATTATTTTCATCCTTTTCAAGATATGAAGTAATAAGAGACGAATTAATAGGTTTCGTCAAATTTTTAAACGCAAATGCTCTACTTGTATATATAGCATCAGGATTAGTTTTACGTGAAATTGTAATATTTGGTATCTCTTTATCAGCTTCTTCAAATGCTTCTTTTATTTTTTTTCCATAATATCCATATCCTTTAGTATTTTTATATTCCTCATAATGTATAATAGAGATATACCAAAATTCTAATATTTGACTCAATTCTTCAGCTGTTGATCGTTGATTTGAATTTGCATTCATACACCTATAAGCTAATTTTTTATAAAATTTAGGAGTTCCTTTTCCAAATTCGGGACGAAGTCCTTTACAAATATCTAAGGCTAAAGGCATGTCATGTTTTATATCATAAAAGGGAGGATTTCCAGTTGATAATTCAGCCATAATTACACCAAAACTGTAGATATCTGAAGCTAAGATATAAGATTCTTCATTCAAGACTTCTGGAGCGATATATGGTAATACTCCATATATTTTGTCATTCGAATTTTGCTTATCTGCTGGTCCCGATAATCCAAAATCTGAAACGTAAGAAGCTTGATATTTATCTTACAAGATATTTCCACTATGAAAATCCTTATGACAATATCCTAAATTTTGTAAAGTAGTAAGTTCATTAATAATGTAATATAAATTATGAAATTTTTCTTTCCATAATATATTGTTAAAATTATTTGAAAGACTATTTCTCAAATTTCCGTTACATAAAAATTGCACGATCATAATAAATTCTTTGGTTTCTGGATCCTTAGTTATTCCATAAAACTCAAATGAAAGAAACTTTTTATGCACTTTAAAAAATTCCCAATGTGCTTTAAGCTAATTATGTAATAAAATTTTAATTAAAATAAAAATATATTTATTTAATAAATATCAAATGTAAAGTAAATGTAAATACCTCATTAAAATAATTGGCTGACATATTTTGTGATCCATTTAACCTTTTCAAAGCAACCTTTATAGGTTCAGAATCTGGTTTTTTCCAACTTCCATTATTCTGCCTTAAATTTTGATTTACTATCGATCCATGTTGCAGAATACACTTTTGCGAATCCTCCTTTACCAATTTCTTTTATATCTGTGAATCTATCAAATGGCACCCATTCAAGAAATTTTGAAAAAGCTTTATGTCTTGCATCATATATAGTATCTTTGATCAATTTATCAATATCAGAATTTCCACTAAACCATCCTTCAATTATACACCAAGGATCACATTCTTTACACCATAATTTCTATGTAAATGGTTTATCACAATAAGAACATTTACTATTTTCTGAGACATTTAATTTGTTGAATTCATATTCTATTAGATCTTGACCTTCATGGCTATTTTTTTTTTTAAAAGAAAATTTTTGGATAAATTTATTTAATTTATTCATTTTTTTTTTTAAAAAAATTCTTTTACAGTAATATTTAAATAATATTTTCAATAAGGATATAAAAGGAATTATCATGACCAAATTTGGATCAATGGAATGATCACATACTGCGGTAATTATTAATTTTGGCTAATCTCATAACTTTAATAAGACCAAAGATATACATTACGTTCATTTATTTCTCCAGTCTTTTCTAGACATTGACCACTACATTTTTGAGCATAACTAATAGCTTGGTTTAACTCATTATTGATAGGAGAAACATGAACAAAATTTACGAATAATATACTTTGAGGTGGATATCTAACTTTTTCTAGATCAACTATTAACATGAGTTTTTCTCGCACAAACCCTGCTTTGGTGTAAATTCATCACCTTCGAGATAATATAATACTTTATTACTATAATTTTTCAGATTTTATGAATAGAAGGTGAGTATGTGGGATCAGTCGCCCCCTTTTGATTCTCCATCCCTCCTTCCATTCTGCAATAGCAAGAAGATATCGAACAGTATCACTTTTCTTTAACGTTATTTCATCTTTCCCAACTGGGTGCTTATATTTTGTGGATGTTCTCAATTCCACTTTTCTAACATGATAGCTTTTATAGGTGCAAAACCCCATTTCTTAATCCCTGGTTCTTAAATGAGACGTGTAGGATAATTATTTAGATAATCAATAACCATTTGCAAATGCCTAATCTATACTTTTATTAATTTCGAATTGGGATATATAGATTCAACAGCATTTTGGATTTTATAGAGTATTTTTGTGAGTGTCTGGTTAAAACGTTCTAGAAAAGCTACTCCTCGATGAGAATATAGACCAATCACTCGAATAGTAATATTATGCTCCTTCATCAATTGAGAAATCTTTCCCATAAATTCACGACCTCTATCACATTGTAAAAGCTCTGGCCATACAAGTGGATTATTAGGATCATTATATATTTTCCTGAATGCTCTAGCAACTTCTGAACTCTTCTTCAATGTGAGTGGAACAGAAGCCTTATAACGGGAAGTGCAGTCTATTATATTAAGCACAGCTATATATTTTTTACGCTTATAATGATCATATGTAAGGAATAATAAATCACATTGGTGTACACAATTTGAGCGTGTTATTCGGCTATAGCTACATCTAGGAATATTCTTCGGGAAAGTATTATGCATTTGGTATATATGTTGCTATTCTAAAAAATCATGGCATTCTTTTAGGCAGAAATGATGCCCTTCTTTTTTACATGCATCTTTTAAGGATTTAGGATTAGAATAATATCCAGTTGGGCGATAATATATATCACATAATATAATATTTTTTTAATTCTCTGGGCCTCATCAGAATTTATTTAGATTATAGGAACTCTTGCTTCTTTATTCATCCTTTTCTCATATCTCAAAAAGATAGAACTATTCATAAAAAAAAATAGAACAGCACTAATGTCTGAAAATGAAGTATATGAGAGTCGAATACAATTCCTAAAATGCGATTTATATCATAGTAAGCTAGAGATATCTCGATTGTATAATATAAAAGAGATTTCAAAGTAGGAAATATCTGATCTTAAAAGCCAGATAACAGCATTAGAGATAAAAATCCATAATCTGGAAAAGATTGCAGAGTGTAGATTGCTATTTATAACTTTTCTAGAAGATCAGATATCAGAAAAATTATCTAAGATTCATGAAGAGATACTTCAGCTAAAAAATAGGATTAGTGATCTTATTATGGCCTTATCGAGTAATATACCCAGTCCTAGAGGGACTCCTTCAATACCATTAACGAGATTTTTCATCATCCTTATTATCAAGGCAATCGAATCATAATCAGCCTTTATCGAGCAATATAGCTTCTGGTTCGTCAGATGCATCAGGAATACAAGACTATACATATGAAATAGTGTAATGCGAAAAAATTAATTATCATGCTACTATCTGGGTAAACCGTTTAAAACGAGTAAGGTATACTGCTAATAATGAAATAAATTTACGCAGAGTTCGGAATCGGTTAAAAAATCTTGAAGATAATCTTTTACAAGCTGAAAGAATAATAGCTGAGCGTGATAGTAAATTATAAGATACCTGGAATGCTTTGGAAAATGCAGAAACCCTAAATGGGATATTACAAGAGGATCTTGCTAAAATAACAGAAAAACCTTGATCACTTTCTGGTGGTTCCTCTAGTGAGAGAGTTTCTATTGGAATATTATAAGAAGAATTAGATCGATCTATTGGGCATCATCACAATTTGAGTAAGTAACTTGATGATGATTTATCAGCTAGTATTTCATCTTTAATACTACCTCCAGTAGAGCCTTAAAAAAACTTATCTCCTCAAGAGGTTCACCGATTATTAAAGAAAAAGCATGAGAAAACTTTAAAGGCTATAAGCCTTGCTAATACTGCAGAAAAAAGAGTTCAAGAATTGACATAAGTCATATATGGTAGAAGTCCTTGACCTTCTCCTGAAATGTTAAGTTCTCGTTTAGAATTTGATAATGAGATTTTAGGTGATTTAGGGGTAATATAGATGAGAATGAAGATTCTATGCCAGATTTCCCATCCTATGATCAAGATATTGGAGCTACTAATGATTGGCTAAGAGAGGAAAAGCCGAATTACTTTGAGAAAATACTTATTTTTATTTCTCGATTTCAGATCCGCATGGCTAAGACAGCACAAGATTTATAGGTTGATATAAGAAGAGATAATCGTCAACTGAAAGCTTAACTGCATAAATGTCAAGGTGATAGGGGGGTACTAGAATATAATCAAGATCGGCTTTTCAATAGATATGAGAAGTGGAAAAATAAGACACATAAAGAATATCAAATAATATTTAATTTACAGGGAGAAAATTTAGCATTACAGAATAATTCACTAAATATATTAGGAATGGTAGGATACAGACTCCCAATATTTTATGATTATACTAGAGAGGATCCAGATGATTAGCTTAGGGATATGCAAAGATATATAATAGCTAGTCAAATAAATATTACGCCTGATGCAGGTCAGGCTCCTGGAAGAGAAGAGGTATTGGGTTAATAGTATCATGCCTTGCAGTGATGCATTGGATTTTTATTTAACTCATATCAAAGGTAAAAATTGGAGATGTAATAATCTCTCAGACAACTTAGGGATACTTACTTTAAACGCTGTTCAAGCAATAGGTGCTGGAAATGGTGGTAATCAAATTGGTGGGTTGAATACTGCTAGAGAATTTCAAGGTAAGGCAGTTGCTGAAATTGGTAGGATTGGAGCAGGAGTCGCAATAGGTGCTGATATTATTCCAAATGGAATATGAGATGAAGATTGATCTATAGCTGGTGGCGAACCTGTAAATAATGCAAAAGTAGCGCCTAATTCTGGAGGTTTTTTCCTGTCATTACTATTGCTCCTGGTATTAAGCTTGGTCAACTTTTATACCTGTTTAGAACCGCTTATACAACAGTTGAACACTTAAAACAAATGGCAGTTTTTGGTCAACTTATATAAGGTGATATGTCAGTTGAGCAATTCTCTACTAGAATTAAAAAGATTGGTAAACTAGCTGAAATGACTTCTAAATAGCAAAGAGAGCATTTGTCTTCAATGAATCAATATAATCTTTGAATGATGGCCAAATTTCATGATACATAGGATAATATTACACAAGCTCTAGCTGAAGCAGAAAAATATACATTATCTCAAAAGAGTGCACCATCTTCTTTTCCAATTTTTCTGGCAGCCAATCCATATACAGATACTAACAGATCAGGGATGACAAAAAATGAAATCGAGAGCTTGGTAAAGAATACAATGGCATCCTCACAGCCTCAACAGCAACCTCAGCAAACAGTTATATCAGCTCTATAGTTCCATCTGTAGCCTATTGAGACGAGTGACAAAATATGAGATGAAAATATTGGAAGATTTTTAAGTTGGATTTTAGGAAAAACTTCAAACTTTGAACCTGTAACTAGGCCTACTTTACCATCGAAGCTGAAAAAGAAAGTTAAAGT